CGCATTGAACTTTGGAACTGTTCGGGTTCAAGGCACCCGCCTTCCCGTCGTAAATCCGACAACTCCGCAAACCCTCCAGCTCCCCTCTACCCCCCCAGGCCTCGAACGAAGGAGCCTCAATACTTCGACTAGGGTTTCGGGGTTTCTAGACGACAACTAGCCAAGGAAGACTATTACGAATCCTTCAGGCCCCTTTATCCCTCACTCTCTTTGCTCTGCTCCAATGCGATCGCTGACAATACGGGAGGAGTTGCCGTTTAGCCTCTTCTGCATTTTCAGCGCAACGGCTAAGCAAGTTTCGCCGGCCGCAGACGTTCGATAAATGAAAGCAGCTGGCTCCACCGTTAAGTTCGCAACTGCGGTCTTACGGGTACAAGCGAGATACGCAATGAAGCTGACCTTTGTGCGCCAGTAAGCAACCTAATTAGGCACCCCGCTTGACCTCCCCTCCACCAAAAGGTGCAAGCTTGCATCTCGTCGCTCCACAAGTAGCCCGGTCGCCTAGACCTTGTTGTACCTAAGCCTCACTTCGGGCAGGGCCTGGAAGAATCTTATGAACGGGCGTAGCTGGCCTAAAATCCGAGACCAGCTTCGCTGGCCTAGAGACTCTTGTTCTCCCAGATGTCCTTCGTGAAGCAGAAGACATATTCATCAGCTGCTTTTTTTTGTTTTCCACATACTAATTGGGTGGTATCTGTGAGAATCGAAATGATGAGCGCGAGCGTAGCAATGCACCATCCATCCAAACGGCCGACGTTTTCGATAAGAATCCCAGCATTTCCCACGCACACAAACATACGGCGACATGCAGAAACACTTGCTTGAGCTTCGCACAACGCAAGACAGATCAAGAATCACATCCACTTTCGGCGGAGCAGTCGTTGGCCGCCTTCGCCCAAGTGAATAATTGCGTGTGGACGATGATGCCCGAGCGCTTGTCAGACGGCCGCAGGGCACAGCAAGGACATGCATTAAAGCACATTGGGATGAGGGAGACTGACGACAGAGCCAATCTAAAACAGCGCACTTCGCAAAGCTGCTCTGAGAACGCAATCGGACTCACCCGATTCAAGTGGACATTACAAATGGAGTCGGCTTGAGCACTTTCCCGTCCGTCCTCCGGCCCTCTCATTCCGTCCAGCAGTTTGTTTGTCTACATCTGGAAGTCCGTCCGGCCCCTCTCATTCCTCGGTCCATTGCCATCTGTTTGTTTATGCGTCCGGGCCGCTCAGCAGTTTGTCCATTTGTCCACCCCTGCTCCGGTACTCTCCTTCCTCCGTCCACAGCATCGTTCGAATCGTCCGAGACTTGGCACGCGTCCGAGCACTGCGAGCTGCAGCCACCTCCGTCGTAGCAGCAGGCCATGACCAGCACTTGGAAGCCCGTGGCCCGCGCCACCACGCTAGCTAGCTGGGCCCAGAGCTTGACCACGTGCTTGACTTCGCCGAAGCAGCGGGGCCGAGCCGATTACTGCTGTGCTAGCCGCAGTGGTAGGTCGTAGGCTTGTGACTGAAGTAAGAGAGACTCGTCGGATCCTCGGTGCAAGCGGAATAGTCGAAGGAGCGTGGAGGTCAATCTCGGTGCCCTTACAAAGTTCGTTCGCCGAGGGGAGTTCAAGGGGGGAAGCGGCGTATGACCGTTACGGTGCGACACAGGATCCCGAACCATGCAGCGTGCGACCCATGCGTTGATGGTTGAGGGGAGGTGGGCAGCCCTCAAAAAGGCGGGTAAGGGGCGGGACGAACGTGGCATCAAGCACACCGTGCCACAGCGGGAGCCGTCGGCGCGGCAACGGTCACCGGCCTGCAGACGGCGAGCTCGAGCGGCAGGGCTCGAGTAGTCAAAGCGCCCAAAGTAGGCAAACCGATGGTCACCAAGCGGATCGAGAGAACTGGCATGATAAGAGATGGGGCACCGACGGGGCAGCACCCGGAACAGTGCACCGGGGAGGCCTGGACTCCTTTGCTTCCCACGTGTCGCATCATGTCGCACTTGCACCATTCCTATTTTAAGTTAAAGAAGGCGCCTTCGTGCATTTTGGCGGCTTTGTTGTGTCAGCCTGAGTGTCACGTCCCCCCCACCATGCAGGAAGTCGCCCTCGTTTCGCCGTGCTGTGGCGCTTCCGCCAATTTTTGTGTTTTCTCGTCGCATTCATTTCTGTGTTGCACATGCAAATGTTCAAACAAGCGGTTCTAGCATTTTCTAGCTCAAGACACGACTGCCAGGCGGCATCAAAATGGATGGATAATGGATAGCTTCATGGAGCGCGAGTTCGTCCTTGTGCGATGGCCGACGATGCGTGGTTCGTCACCAGTCTTCCGCCCCGTCGTGGCCCAACCCAGGTTTCGGCAAAGCGGTCGACACCTCAAGGGACCACGCTTTCGCCTGCCCAAGGAGGGGCTTGCTGCTGCCGGCCAAACACACCGAAGTTGTATAGCGAACCTGGGCATGCGTTTGTATGTGGCGGCCGGACGGCCCATTCGCACCACAACAACTAGCTCGCCCACAGGACTGCTCCGCAGACGACCGGTTTGTGTTTGGCACCAACGACGCGGAAGCGACCAATGTACTTGACTGTAGTATGCTCAATTCTGCTGTTGGTGTACTGCAATGCATTGCAGTGTATTGTAATGCAATGTAAAGCAACGTGATGTACAGTATATAATGTGATGTAGGATCAAGTTGTTGAAGGAAATCTAATGTACAATACATACTAAACTAAGCACACGAACACATTTCTGGACAATTACACATACCACTTGTTTTTACATTGGCATGGGTTACACACCTGACACGTCGCCTATGAATCGTTTTGTCGGCTGCACATTGTCCGGGAGGTGGAGGCCATGAAGATTCAGGGTTTCGCGATTTGGGTCAGAAGGTGTGCTGTTCAGGCTTCAACCTGGCGGGGTAAGGCTGCTTGAGTTTCCTTTGGCGTCGTTTGTTGGAAAGTTGGCTTGGCATTTGTCCCGAATGTGGCAACTGCCGAACCCCGCCAGTAGCCTATGCACTCACATGGCACGCGCAAGATGCTGCATAACGCACCCTACTTGCGCTGCCGGCAATTAAGTCTGAACAGCTGGCAGCAGCTGCCACGGAAGCATACTTTCAGACAAGACGCACATTCGGGTACAGAGATGGAAATTGGGGCCAAGCTGAACGCCTGCTCCAAGCAATATTGTAATGCATACCTCCTGGCACGGACTCAAAAGCAATGCAGCACGCATGCGCTGCTCGCACGCCAACTAACGGTTCTGAGACCGATGCCGCAGTTATACTGTGCCACTCCCTTCGCTTCACCCCGTCGTGAGGTCTTGGCGGAACTCTCGGGAGCGATGGGGCCGGCAGCACCCGACGACTTGCAATGCCGACTTGAGACATTCGCACCAGCGTGACAAGGAATTGTTTTGAGGTCAGCCGACAGCTGTGTTGGCCATTGGGGACATGGACTGCCACAGGCCCAGGCGACATCCGACGAACAATCCGGTCTCAGCCTGGATTGGGCCGTCTGGTCAATATGTCCGTGCACGGTGGTCAACGTCAAAGTTGTTTGCACCCGTTTAGGATCGAGGAATGTACCACAAGCTTTGCGATATCAAACATCCGTGCATTACACAGTGATCTGCCAACTCCACTTGCATCGCGTCGTCCGTTCATGAATCGTATGCTGCAGTTTAACTAACAAGTAAAACGTACACATTCAGAAGGACCCGTGGCTGAGACACGGCAGGCAACACAGAATGATGTCAGCATGGCTGGGACACCAGCAGGACACCCAAAATTTGTTTTGAATTTACTCGGGCTGGGCCAAAACCTTGAGCCGGGCTGTCAAGCTGACAGGCTGATGAAGTGAGCGTTGCCTGTCCCTTGCGCAGTTGCCACGACAGAGCCTCGACCTTTTGAGTGCCAGGCTTCAAAGCTTCACATGGTACTGATGTGCTGTCGTTGTTCGTGGGACATAAGTGTGCCTCAGCTTTGCTAACTACGAAAAACTGGCAAGACCGGACTGACATCGGACAAACCATTTCCTTTTGCTCACATGTTTCGCCAGCCGCCGTGCATCTCTTGCTAGATACTGCGATTGCGTCGCGAACGGTCTCTTTCTGTTGCGAGGGAATGATCCGCTTGATTGTTGCTTTCATTTATGCAATTTATGCTTTGGCCATTCGCGGGGCCAAGAATGGTCATGTGAGACCATGATCAACCCGGCCTGCGCAATGTTCGTCAACACACACCCGGAGAAAAAAAAAAAAAACGAACTGTCGCTTCCCAGCTTATTCGAGCTTTCACATCAGCAGCAGTTTGGGCATCTTGCGCCATGTTTTGTAGATGCGGGTGTTCAAAGATCAGGCATCTATGCCCCTGCCGTGCAGGGGTATGTTCTGGAAGCAGCAGTGGCAACGCCGTGCCCTGCAATGTGGCAACGCAGACAGACCTGCACGAGTTTGTCAAAGGTTTTTTTCCCGCAAATTGTGTCAGCAGCAGAATTGCTTTAACCCAAGAAAATCCACCCTTCAGGTATCGAGTGAGGGACCTGTCCACTGGGGAGGGGTGTAGGAATTCCTCGAGTCGAGCATGCGAGCCTGTGGTGATGAAGCCACGCCCTCTAGCCGCTAGAGTCCCGCCAAAACACCCTCTCCCGTCTCTCCATCCGCATTGCGGAACCCCAGGCCGGAGCTCCGAGCAGCTCAGCGGCCAAGCCCTCACGACTCACATTCTCACGTCTCGTTGTCAACATCACCGCAAGTTCGGAGCCCCGACCAATGTTGAGCGCCTGAACCCTGCACCCTGACCCTAAACCCCGACAAATCCACCCCTCGAGTATCAAGCAACTGCTGGTCATGAAGAGTTTTGGCTCAAGGTAGTTTTGTCTTCATGGCGACAATCTTACGGTGAACGTTTTTGGGGCCCGCCGCGTTTTAATTTCTGTTTGGTCTTCTCTTGAACTGCTCCCTGGGCTTTTCTACATTTTCCGTGCCTATAGCCGACAGCGCTGGTGCATGCGTCCGGTGACGCTCGTGCTCGGAGGGGTTCAAGTTGACGGGCTGGTGGAACGAGACTTTGTTTTACTGCCTGTGGCCGACGTGTTAACTGCCGCCGGAGTCGCTGCAGGCTGTGCCTCCGAGGCTGCCTTCCCCGCTCCGGCGGCTCCCATGCCGGCTCCCAAGCCCGGTGCACGCTCACCTACACCGACCCCTCCTCCGCCACCCCCCCTGCAACAGACCGCGGCCGAAGCCTCCAGCTCGCCCGCGTGCTGACCAGCCTCCTGCCCGCCCGCCAGCGGCCCTCTCCCGACTTGGAGGAAAAAACGCCGAGTCCGGGGCGGCTGTCGCTGGAATAGGTGCACACCAAACCCAGGTGCCAAACCGGAGCCTCAGTGCTTCAGTCCAAGGCAGGCTTGCTTTGCTGCCGCCCCTTTGCTTCACCCGTCAGGACACCTGACTTCATCTGCGCCCCTTTGCCGGTTTGTTAAGCAGAGGCCAGGCAGAGGCCACTTTTCAATTAGGCCATAACACACCCGACCTTTTCAGCAGAAGTGTCAAACAGGCTTAGCCGTGCGGTCCGCCGCTGCCAGTCTGTGCCTCAGATCCGTCCTGTCCTTTGCAGCACGTGTGAGCCTTGGCCGCATTTCTGCCTGTGCCAGGCCCCACTCGCTCTGAGTCGCAACCCCCGAAACAAAAAGGGCCCCGGCTTTGCGAGGCAGCCGTAATGGGCTTGCCACGCTGCCGGCCTGCAGTTTATACAGCATTTTCACCTTGTCAGCTGAGATGCGTTTGTGCATTCTGGAAGCCCCTGCGGCTGCTTTGCCCGACCTTTTAAATGGGCTGCACCCGCTGGCCGCCTTCATTTGCTTTTTGCACGCCCAGCATAGCGCCGTGCATTGGATCTGTACTATACAGGATATCTTCCTTCTGCGGCTGAACAAGAAAGGGTGTCGCAAGGGGATTCCTTCAGCGCCCCCTTCCTTAGTTTTTTTCCGCCTTGACTGTGCCGGACAGCCCCTCCCCTCCCGAACTGATTGCTGACCACGCGCCCCGTCGACCCCCTTCCATGCTCTCGTCAGTCCCCGACGCCGCCCCACGTGCAACGTCTGGTGTCTTAGCATCGCGAGCGCTTCCGCTCGAGCCTGCCGTCGCCCACGTATGTCGGGAGGGGGGCGCGCGCATCGCACGCAACGTCAGGGTCGCTGACATGAACGTCGACCGTCAGCGGCGCGCGGTGCATCGAGGTCGTCGCCAACGGCCTGCCCGTCTGGGACGGCTCAGCTCGCGCTCGATGCCACCCTCGTCAGCCCGGTCACGCGGGCAGGCGAGCCACAGCCGGCGGCGACACCTGGGGACCAAGATGACACCTCCACGATGGTGGTCCCGGGGTGCTCTGTCTTAGACACAGGACAGGGCACGGCGAAGAGCATCACGAGCGACAAATTCAAGCCGGGCCTTCCCGACCTGGCTGCTGCGGGAAACCGTGAGAGGGAAATGAATTCTAGCCGTGCCAATGGCGGCAGCCTCAGGAAGCAAGTGGGAATACCGCTTTCTTTGGATGATCGCTTGAGCCGGCTGGCGGAGAACCACGATTGGAAGCATGGATTTAGACTCGGAGAAGCATCGCATCCTGGACCCTCCGGTGGGGGATCGCGGGCAACAGCAAGGATTCGCAATGAACGCGAAGAGCAAGAGGGAGCTGCAGTGATCTTGCAGCTATGCTACGCCCAATGATTTTGGGCATGATCAAGGAAATCTTGCACGAGATCTTCGGTGGCGGTGGCCCAAAAGAGATGATTACTGGTGTGCTTTCGGGACGGCAGCCAGCTACATCTCTGACGGCCCCTTCGGTGGCTCAGCCTGTGTTGGACGAGTGCGCAAGTGTGTGTTTCGAGATGGTTCCTTTCAACTGACACTGTCTGCTTCTGCTCGACGACGCGGTAGAACACGACACACCTGGGCCACAGAAGTGTACCGACTTGCCTTCGATGTCGCGGGTTCTACACAAAATTTGTTGGCAGCAGCCTTCAATCGTATGGCGTCGCTGCGTCCAAACATATTGTCTTCGCACGCGCTAAGCGCCTGTAAGACGGTATGCCTGCCCATGTGTTTGTACACGAGGCTTACTGACTGACTGACGGGTCCTTAAGATGCGCGAGAGACGGGAGATGGTGTGGGGGGATCTCACTAGGCCTATCTTGCAGCCGGAGGCCGTGTGCAGGCGTTCTGCTGCGCACCCGGTGCGGCAGGTGGGTCCGGTGACATTGCCTCGGTCCTCGGTGCACGTCCTCGTTGTGATGACTTGGGCCTCAACTTCGAGGTCAAGAGCGAGGACTTTGCTGAGGAGCATGCTTCACAAAGCGGAGGGCCCAGACCATTGGTTTTGTGCTTCTTGGGTGTTGCTTCCTGCTGCCATCCAGGGTGCCTTTGCGAGACTCTGGCAGTAGGTGTTGTTGGCCGGGATGATACCGCAACGGTGGAGGGAAGGCCGACTCGTTTTATCGAAAAACCCACCCAGGGATACAGGCCACTGCCTATTCTCCCGTGCGCATGGAGAATTGGAACTCGCCTGTTGGTGCAGCAGCTGACTGATTGGATTGAAAGGTGGGCATCTCTGCGGGTCTTAGGGGGAGTCGCTCACCGAGGCCTGAAGGACTCCTACCTTCGACTGCTCGACTCCCTCAGTAGTCCTTGCTACTACCTGCAGGAAGATTTGATCAAAGTCTTTGATTCGGACAGGACAAAAAGCCGTTTCGTTCACTGCAGGCCTTCTGATGCCGTTGATTTCGCGACAGAGCTCGACTATGAGGTGAGTGACACTTTCTCCCTGCTGGGCTTGCTTGTGCCGGTGGATGGCAGCTCCGGGCCGCCCCTCAAGGACTTCAGTCGGTCAAGCGGCGCATTCGCCTCATTGGCATTGCGGTGAAGGGCCTGCGCAAGAAGGTCCGCATCCTCCGGATGATGGTTCTTCCTATGCTTACGTGGGCGGGTGGCTTCGCGACGGTCGCGCCCAGCGAGATGGAGGAGATCGTGGCGGCCTCCCGGCACCTGCTCCGTTCGACTCTGGCTCCTGACGCTCCGCCGGTTCTCATGTACGAGGTTGCTGGGTGGGAGCTTCAGCCTGAGTTTGCCTGTGAGCTTGCTGCGCTTCGAGAAGCTGTCCGCCAGCATCGTGGATCGAAGACGCTTCGGTGCGGTTTGCAGCGAAGCGCTGGCCGGACTTGCTGCCAATGACGGTGGCTGTTCTCACGAGCCTTGGTTGGGACTGGGACCCGAGGGGCTGCTACATCTTGAGGCAGGACTCCTATGGGCAAGAGCGGCGATTCGAGCTCGGGGTGGACTCCTTCGACATCCTGGCCGAGTGGTTGAGGGACGTCTACCGTTGGCGATTCTTGGCTCGATGCGGACGCGTAGCTCAATTTCTTCATCGTGATGAGGCAGGAGATGATGTTGCACAAGGCCTCTCCCTCCCTGGGCCTCCGATGGGGAGTTTGGCCACCTTTGAGGGTCACAAGTGGGCGTGGAAGAGGGCCCAGGACACTGTGAGTCGGCAATCTGCCCTCGTCACAGGGTGCTCCTACTGGCACAAGTGCGAGAAGCTTTTTCAGGAGGCTCGGCAAGCTCTTCGTTGCCTGTGTGGCAAGAGTACTCCTTCGCGCCCTCATTTGTTGTGGTGCTGTTCCCAGCTTGCGGAGCTTAGAGCCAATTTGACGATGCCAACCAATCGTTTGGAGGAGAGATTGGTGGCATGTGCTGTGCCGGAGGTGCCCTTGGCGCCTGTCGTGATCTCTCGTGCTGAATACATTGAGGAGATGGCGGGGCAGTTGGAGGCCAGACTGGCTGTGGGCTCTCCTTTGTTTGTGGCCACGGATGGCAGCGCCGTGTCTTCTGTCTCGGCGTGGGCGGTGGTGCTGGACAGTGATGGTGCGAGTGACTTTGCCCTGGGAGTGCCTGGTGAAGATCAAACTCCTCACCGATCGGAGGTTGAGGGACTGGTGGCGTTGCTTGAGGCACTGGCCCTGACGAGTTCGAGTGGGACCATCCATGTGCTGGCGGACTGTCAGTCAGCTTTGGAGGTGGTTCGTGGAGGAGGCAGCGTGCAAATTCTTGCGTGCAAGGCTGTGGCGCTGCAGACCCAACTTCGAGGGCGACTTCAGCTGTTCTTTTGGTGGGTTCCGTCGCATGGCAAGGCTGCCCCATCTCGATGGTTGACACCGCCATGCGGAGAAGTGCTGTCCATCGTGCGGCGGGCTCTTGCAGAAAGCAGTGTGCTGACCAGCGTGCACTGGCCATAAAAGCAGGCGTTGCTGACTCTCACTGCTGTGGCCAACCGTTAGACCCAGGCCTAAGACTCAGGTGATTGGTCGGCTACGGCTTTGTCACCGTGCCGTCCGCAACACTATCAGGCGACACCCGCCGTAGCGTGGCCGTCGAAGCCGCTGCCCGCCGCAAGCCACACCAAACTTACTCCGCGCTCCCGCGACGGGCGCGTCTCGTCGTTTTCGGGGTCGAGGCAGGCGGGCGCTTTAGAGGGAGCAGCCACCTTCCTTCGTCACCTTGCGCGGCACCGTGCTGCCGGCCTCCCGCCGCCGCTCCACGCCGCTGGGTGCGCAGGCGAGCAGCTATAGTATAGGTCTGTGCGCCGGACCAACGGTGCAAGGATGCGGGTGACCCGTT